CCGGCTACTTGGAAGGCTGAGGCGGAAGGATCACTGGAGCCCAGCAGGTTGAGGCTGCGGTAGCCAGGAGCATGCATGCCACTGCACTCCAGCCTGGACGAAGGAGTGAGACTCCAACTCAAAAAAAAAAAAAAAAAAGAGCCTCCAGAAGCCTTAACTATACGAAATGTTTGGAGTGTAAGCCTGAATTTGCTACAGTCAAGTGACAACTCTCAGGGAAGCCAGGTTTAGGATGAAGTGGACAACCAAGGAAAGCAAAGCTGCAAAACTCAAAGAAACCGAGATCTTGGTGACACTGGAGCCACCAGATCCAGCCAACCCTAAACCTACACTACTTCTTCTCGAAGTCACTTGAACGCAGAAATGCCCTTCACTATTGACCTATTGGAACGGTTTCCTGCTACCCAGGAAGGAGTCACAACATAAAGCCCTAACCAATACGCATGTGTTAAAACGCTGAGTCGACCCTCTTCCCCACTGCCACACCAAAATAAACTAAAGAAAATATGGAACTAATGTGTACTGCGCTCATAAAAGCTCGACAGAAATGACACCGCCCTGTGTTGATGGAAGTGGCTGCAGTCATTGGATGAGTAACTTGGGCGGAAATCCTACGCCTGCTTCTAACCTAGATATTTTAAAGATATTGTATAAAAAGTAAAATATGCCCCAACAACGAATCTTACATGGAATGAAACTTTTCCATTAAAAATACCTAAAAGTGGGGCCAGGCACAGTGGCTCACATGCTTGTAATCCCAGTACTTTGAGAGGCCAAGGAGGGAGGATTGCTTGAGCCCAGTTCAAGACCAGCCTGGCAACATAGCAAGACCTCATCTCTACAAAAAAAGAAATCAAAGAATTAGTTGGGCATGATAGTGTGCCTGTAGTCCCAGCTACTTGGGACACTAAGGCAGGAGGATGGCTTGAGCCCAGGAGGTCGAGGCTGTGGTAAGCCATGATCATGCCACTGCACTTCAGCCTGGGCCACAAAGTGAGACCTCAACTCGAAAAACACAACAAAATAAAAAGAGACTTAAAAGTGGCCCATTGAAGTGAATAAGATTCTCTAATAGAAAACAACATATAACAAGTCCAAATGACGGTCATCTGGGGAGAATTCATAATCTTCCTATTCCTAAACAGTTTTGGTCTTCATTCTGCAGCACACCCAGAATGGAGGAAACAGCAGATCTAAAATTTTCCCTCAACAAAGTATGTAAGTTGGGTTCACGATAAAAACCCTTTGCCAACAGCCATGCTGGCTACATTTTAACCTTCTGGCACAGACAGGTTCTGGAGTCTCAACTGGTTGAGATTTTTTGGCTTTGGCTTTTTCCACCTTGGGAATCTCTATCCTGAGCATTTTTAAATGCCTGACAACGGCCTGGATCTCAAATGCTCCTGAACGCTGCTGACTCCACTTCTGGAATGTTCCAGTCTCTCCCAGAGTCAGACAGCAACCTCACCAGGCAAGTGTGCAGACAGGAGCCATGTCCTCCAGAGATGAACCTTAGCACCTGAGCACCTACTAGGATGCACCAGGTACGGTGGAAACATTCTCACCAATCCTCCCAACAACCCTGCAAACTAGATTTTGCCAGTTTTGTAGATAGAGGAACTGAGGCCCAAGGTCCCAGCTGACAAGAGGGAGACCCAGCTTCAAACTCTGGTCTGTCTGACTTTGCTACCCAGCTCTCTGCCAGACACAGTGCAGGTACATACCTGCACGGGTAACTTCCACTCAGGTAAATACTCATGCAGGTAAATGTCCACTCAGGTAAACACTACGCGGGCAAATTCCACTTAGGTAAACACTCATGCAGGTGAACACTCATGCAGGTAAACATCCACTCAGGCAAACATTCATGTAGGTAAACGCCCTTGGGGATAAGCACCTGCTCAAGTAACACCCACACACCTGCATTGAGCAGCACTTTGACACAGTCCAGATGCTCCCGGGCACAGGCCACGTGCAGAGGGGTCCCGAAATGGCAGTCGTGCGCTTCCAGATTGGCCCCAACGTCAATGAGAAGCCTCACACACTCCGAGCTCCCTTAAGAGAAACGGGAGGGGGGAGAGCGGCCGTGAGTGTGTGCCCTGGGAATAGCAGGCACCGCCCGCTCCGCTGGACAGGTCACCCGCGTCTGGCTGTGGGGACAGGCCTGTGTCCCCACCTAAGATGAGTTCACCCCCCACGTGGCAGGGCAGCCAGGAGACGGCTCTCCTTCCTCCCGCGGGGGGACAGGCCTGGCCGGCCTCCTGCCATGAGAACACCAGCCATGAATGCACAGCCTGAGAAGGACCCAGGCTGCCACCCGCCTGGGTATGTCACAGTTGTGTTTATGCTTGTGGGGAGACTTGCCTCCGTGAGGAGCAGCCTCTCTGGCCCCCTTCCGAGCGCCTCTTCCTGGGTCTGTGATACAAACTGGGCTCAGGGCTCGAACCCTCTGCGCTCCTTCCCAGTACATTCCGTCCCAGACTCCGTGCCCCCTCGTGTCTCCATCACCTCTTCCCCGCTGGGGGCGCCGGTTTCCACCTCCAGCCCCGCATCTTGGCCCCGCCCACAGCGCTCCACCCTCCAGCTGGCGTCTCCACCACTCCGGAGCCCCCTCTGCCCTTCCCTGGGGTCCCTGCTCCTGGCTCAGACCCGATTCGTTCCTGACCCTGGCGCCTCCCACTCACACCAAATCCCATGATTCTGCCCCAAAATGTAAACGGACCCGCCCCACGCCACCACCCTACTCTGAGGGCTTGGCCCCTGGATCGTGGTGACGGCCCCCAGTCGACCCCAATTCCGGGAGACCACCGGGAGACCACCCTGCTACCACCCTCTCAGTGCATCTGCACACGAGGGCCCTAGACGAACCCTCCCCAGATTCTGTCTTCCTGTCACTTGACATCTGCTCAGAGACCTTCAAGACACCCTAGAGCCATCCCATGGCCTGCAAGTGTCAAGCGGTGACTCAGTACAGAGTCAGCAACAGGCAGCGGTGGCCCCACACCCCACACGCCAGCAAAACACACCCAAGGATAAATAAACACCATGCTGGCCAGGTGCAGCGGCTCAAGCCTGACCCAGCACTTTGGGAGGCCGAGGCAAGAGGATTGCCTGAGCCCACAGGTTCGAGACCAGCCTGGGCAACATGGCAAGACCTTATCTCTACAATAAGTAAAAAATGAGCCAGGCGTGGTAGTGCACACCTGTAGTTCCAACTACTTGGGAGGATGAGGCGGAAGGATTGCCCGAGCCCAGCAGGTCGACAGTGGGGTGGCCGTGAGCGCACCACTGCATTCCAATCCAGCCTGGGTGACGGAGTGAGGCTCCAACCCCCCCCAAAAAAAGGATATAAGCCCCAAGCTGCAATCTCTGCTCAAAATAGTCGACTCCACCACAACCCCTTTGTCTTTCATTTGCAGTTTTCCCACCATATGGTCTCAGCCCTCTCCACTCCCCTGGGAGCTTCTGATGTGCGAAGAGTGGCCAAGGGCTCCTTCCTGGGCTTGGGGCGGCCTTACATTCCCACCATCCGCAACCTGCCCTTCTGTGAGGGCAGGTGAAATCCCACCTGTCTCTGGGCCTTCAGGGCTAGCGGCCTCCTGAAAGCACCCGTCACAGCGCACCTGGCCGGGGCCATGGGCATGTGTTTCTCACTCGGCTCCCATCTCAGTCAGGAGCAAAGGCCCAGTGTCGCACACAGCTGGAAAGGAGAGCCCTAGGTCACCAGCTCGGAAAGGCAGGGGATAAAAATCAGTCGTAATTCTGGGGGGAGGGCCAGATCACGCCTGTCATCCCAGCACTTTGGGAGCGCAAAGCAGGAGGCTCACTTGAGTCCAGGAGTTTGAGACCAGCCTGGACAACATAATAAAATCCCATCTTTACAAAAAATTAAGAGTTAGCCAGGCACGGTGGTGCACACTTGTAGTCCCAGCTACTTGGGAGGTTGAGGCGGGAGGATCTCCTGAGCCCAGTGAGTGTCTGCAGAGCCCACGGGGCTCCGGCATGGGGGCAGGATGAGGGAGCCTCAGCGGACACCGACTCCACTCACAGAGGCGACTGTCCCTGAACCGCCTGGTCGGAGCCACCGGGAGCCAGAAACAGAGCCCAAACCACCTCTGCCCACTCAGGGCCTCCAGTTCCGTGTACACTGCTTTCCTCACAAGCCCCTTCAATCCCAGAAAGAGAAGGGAAGCTCCCAGCACCGCGGGGCCAGCCCGGCGCGCCGGC